AAGTGGAATAACATACATCACTCAGCAACTTGATCTCTTTGTTAAACACTATATTATTACCTTAGAGACTCCTTTCCAGGTTATTACATGTAAATCCAAGTTATTATTTTTAAAATATGCAAAATGTCTCACTATGTGGATAAACCATGCTTTTGTCAACCAGCACCCTACTGATGGATTTTCAAGTCACTCTGATTTTTCTTGTCACTCTAAGTGATTTTGCAATAAATGGTCTTTTACATACACCCCTATGAACAGGCATTTCATTTCCATAGGATAGTTTCTCAAAAGTGGCAGCACTTTAATGTGTGTTGCCAGATCCTTTCAAAAATGTGATTCCTTGGGGTGTAACCTGAACCCTTGGAAGGTGAAAGTCCAGTCTTCCTTCCCCTCCACTATTCCAATGTTAAGTACAAAAATATTTACTTACTGCATTAAAAGCCCTGGATTGGATACTTGAGGGAGAGGATCCATGAAATAAAAGTCACAGTCCCTGTTTTAAAAGCATTCCTACACCAAGAGCTCGACAGCCTGGCAGAGTGTTCACGAGACTAGCTGAGGCGTGGGGCACTTTTCCTGAGAGGAAACCAGGTTGATCCCAGGTCGAGGCAGCCAAGCATGGACTGGATGCTACCAAGGGGTTCTATGGTCTGAAAAATAATAAAGACAAAAAATAGCATCAACTACCTGTCACTTGGGTACAATGTGCACAGGGGACACTCAGGCCTGTGTCTTAGGGCACGTCTCATCTCCTGCTTCTTCTGGAAAGTTGTGCCCAGAGAACCTGGCTTGGAGGCTATATGCCCCTGCTTCTTGTCCAGGGGACATGATAGAAAACCACCACCTGCAAAACCCCATCCTTACTTCCCAAAAGAGTCTTGCTTGGTCCCTTTGAAACATCTGTTGTGTCCAGACTTGCTGATAAGACGCAGTCCACTCATGACTCACCTGTAACCCAAAGAAACCTTATACTGCTTAAAACCTCCCACCTTAGGCCATTAGAGCCTGCTTCAGAGTGTGTGAGGGGCTGAGAGAGGAAGAAGAGAAAGGAAGGAGAGACCCTTGGCCAGAGCCTGGGAGAAAGGGCCTGAGCTTTGTGGTCTTACAGACCAGCGGGTTAACCTCTCATTCCTGTAACAGTGGCTTCATGGGGACGGCTCTCTGGCAGATACACTGTGAGAATAAAATGAGCCAAGGTAGACCAACCATCTAAGACAACTCCTAGGAAATAGTGTTCTAGTAAAAGTGGGTTTCCTTCCCAGCATCTTCATAGAAGATCATGTCTGTCCAAATAAGAAGGAAACAGAGTGATGTGGGGGAAGAGGGTCACTGCAGGGGTCAGCAGATATGGGCTCTGGTCCCACCTTTGTCAGTCAATGGCTGGGTGGCTTGAAGAAGCCACTTTCCCTCTCTGAGCCCCTTTCTTCTTCTTCTTTAAAAAAAGGGTTTCACATGAGATAAGCCCCATGTCCCCTTTCTGCTTTGTCCTTTTATGCACGATATGAATTATGAATCCAATTGCACCCAAATGACAACCAAGACTGGTCACGTCTCAGACCAAAACTCAACTCTGACTGCCAAAACAAAGGCTGAAAAGTGAGACGTCCCCACGTGTCCGAGGGATCAAATGGAAAATCCAGTCCTAGCCAGTCAGACATTTACAAAGAAGGCCTGCAGCTAATGCTCATTGCAATGGTCACTCCAGCACTGGGCTAGGAGGTCAAAGGGCACTCCATTTTTTAAAACAGTGCTCTTTGGCTTTAGCAGCCTCAAAGTCAGTTAGCAGACAATCATTATAAATAGTCATCACTTGTTCGAGATGCTTACCAGCGGGCAGAGGTCTGTGGGGGAACCAGCGAGCTTGACAGCCCAGGCTGCAGGGTTGTGGTCAGTTACACCTCCTCAGGTCTCAAGTGATCTTTTTTGACACATGAATCATTCACAGCAGCAGATGATCCTCAAACCACTTCTCTGACTCATGTATGTATCCAGGTACATGCAGATAGAGCTTCTACATGTCTCATGATTCTTGGCTTCAAAATATATTCAAATTAATGTCCTGTCCCAAGTACTCAGTGTCCGCCCTGGGTGATAGTCCAGACAAAGCCTGCTGGGGTGCCTTGCCAGAGACTTCATCCCATCAGAAGCAGTCCCCCTGGAGCTGATTCTCCTGCAGGAAATAAAAAATCAGTTGTCATCATTACACACCTCCCAGGGTTATTCTATGGGAAGAACTGCATAAAGCTTGGGTGATGTTTAAAAATCACACAAGAAAAGAGTGGCTTCAGCTTCATAGACCATCCAGGTATCTGTTTAATTCAAATGCAGCTATGGCTTTCAGAAGGCGGAGCTTCCCTCTCCTGGGCTGGACCAGGCCTGGCAGGGTTCAGGGCCTCTCCGGAGCTTGTGCAGCCTCTCTCCAGGGCCTGGAGGGAAGGGAAGGAGCACGGTGACCTCAGAGCAGTGACTGCAGGCCAAATGCTTGCTCTAGGCCAGGCGCCGAGTCCACACTGACCCCAGAGCAGTGACTGGAGGCCAAGTGCCTGCTCCAGGCCAGGCGCTGAGTCCACACTGACCCCAGAGCAGTGACTGGAGGCCAAGTGCCTGCTCCAGGCCAGGCGCTGAGCCCACACTGACCCCAGAGCAGGGACTGCAGGCCAAGTGCCTGCTCTAGGCCAGGCGATGAGTCCACACTGACCCCAGAGGTGAGCCACGTTATACCCCTGTTTTGTGCATCAGGGAGGGATGGCTCAGGAAGGTTTCAGAGCTTTCTCAAGTCACACTCCAAACGGGGGACTAAACACAGCCCCCATCTCCCCAAATCCACCAGCAGAAGGAGCACAGACCCAGTTTTAAATCCAGATTCTGATACTTTCCGCTGTGACTCTGGGCACATCGCTCTATTTCTCTGAGCCCCAAGACCCCATTTGCAAAAAGAGGTGGGCCAAGTGGGTGCATGAAAAGATGCTCCACATCACTAGTTACTAGAGAAATGCAAAAAAAACTACTTAATGAAATATCACCTGATACCGGTTAGGACAGCCATCATTAAAATATCTACAAATAACAAATGCTGGAGAAGGTGTGGGGAAAAGGGAACCCTCCTACAGTGTTGGTAGGAATATAAGTTGTTGCAGCCACTATGGAGAACAGATGGAGGTTCCTCAAAAAACTATAAGAGTTTCCATATGATCTGGCAATCCCACTCCTCCTGGGCATATACCCAGGCAAAATTGTAACTCAGAAAGATACATGCACCCCTATGTTCATGACACTGTTCACAATACCCAAGACATGGAAGTAACTTAAGTGTCCATTGACAGAGGAATGGGTATAAAGACAATGTAGAACATAGATGCAGTGGAATACTACTCAACCATAAAAAAGAATGAAATAATGCCACTTGCAACAACGTGGATGGACCTAGAGATTATCATGCTATGTGAAGTTAAGTCAGAAAGAGAAAGACAAATACCATATGATATCACTTATATGTGGAATCTAAAATATGACACAATGAACATATCTATGAAACCGAAACAGAATCATAGACAGAGAGAAAACAGACCTGTGGTTGCCAACAGGGAGAAGGAGGGGAGGGAAGGAGCTGGAGGTTGGGGTTAGCAGATGCAAGCTATTATACAGAGGGTGGATAAGCAACAAGGTCCTACTGTGTATAGCACAGGGAACTGTATTCAATATGGTAAACCATAATGGAAAAGAACAAAAATATAAAGAATAAAACATAATGTAAAGAATAGAAATATATATATATGAGTCACTGTGTTGCACAGCCGAAATTAACACAACATTTTAAATCAACTATACTTCAATTAAAAAAACAAGAGAGGCAGGCCGGCTTGTTGCAACGTGCCTGACCCAGAGCCAGGCTCCCTGCAGAGCTCAGTAAACGGGGGCAATGGTGTGCATGTGGCTGGAAGTGGCTGACTTCACTCTGCCAAAACTGCATCTCCGGTTCTGTTCAACTCTTGGGGTGAAGAGCACAGCCCATCCCCCCCCCGCCAAGGTCGCAGCATCCGTCAACCAGGCAAATGGCTCGTGACAGGGCCCCTCCGTCTAAACGGCACCTATCAAGCCGTATTCCTGCTGCAGCTCCTGTCACATCTGCTTAGTACCTGCTCTGAGTGGTGTCACCCTGGGTCACATGCCATATTTGCAGGCGTGGAGGACCTTGCCCTTTTAACTTCTGGAATACTCAGCTTATGCAAGGGGCCAGATCTGCCACTCCACGGCCTGGGGACTTAGTGGATGTGTCCTGCACCAGCATGGGATTAATCACAGGCAGGAAGGAGAGAGCCGGCAGGCTGGCAGGCCTACGGAGGAGGAGGTGGGGCGCAGGGGACAACGACAGCAGAACAACTCTGCTTATCTTCTCTGACTTTTCTCCAGCCTGCAGAGACGGCCTTTTCTTTTTAAAACAAATCTCTGTCTGTACCTTTCCCTGCTGGCCCATAATCTAAGCCCCAGGAGGTTCATTCAGGTCATGGTTTCCAGCCCAGAGCCTCTGAGCACACATCTTCCTCCTTCAGCCTCATTTTACCCTCAAGTTCATAAGACAAGGTGGGTTAAGATGCCCCCTTCCTCCTCCAGGTTGGATAATGAGGTCCCTCCCTGAAAACTCCGCCCTTTCCCAGACTGAGTTTGGGACAAATTCCAGTCCTGTAGAATCATGGCCTAGACATGGAGGGGAAGAGCAGGCTGTACCCAGGAGCTCCGGCACTTTCTCCAAGTAGGGCCACGGGCTCTATGCCAGGTCCCAGAATCAGAGGCTGTTTTTCAAGCAACATCTCAGACGGTATAGAGAAACTCCAGTTATAACCAGGCCAACTCCACCCTGTGTCCCAACCAAGTAACGACAGCCCAGAGCTCTGCTTTATAAAACGTCACGTGACAGAGGACCCCTCACTACCCCCTCCCCCACCAAAGCCCCTCCTATGAGTTTCCAGGAGACCTTGCAGGACCACCCCGTAGGCACTCACATGGAGTCTCCTTCTTCGTCTCTGCTCCCCTTTGTCAGCGTCTGGTAACCTTGGACTTGCTTCCGGGAGCCTCGCCCGTGCTCACGTCGACCATGTCCCTTGGACGGAGGCTGATGGCCGTGCAGGGTTGTCGTCTCCCTGTCTACCTCGCAGTTCTGGATGCCGTGCAGAAGCTGCGGGCAAAACCTGACAAGGCCCCAGCCCCCTCCTCATGCTCGGAGTCCCTCTGAGCCTCCTGGGGAACCGGCCCTTTCTGTTTCTGGCCGGAATCCTCCCACTCTGTGTCTGCAGGAACGCAAAGCCCGGAGTCAGGGTGGCAAGCACGCCATCCCCTCAGCCTCCGAGGCCCCTCCACTGCCTTCCGGTCACAAAACAACAGCTCAAGCACTTCTGTTCCCTCAGCCGGGGACCAACACACCACGCGGCTCAGTCCATGCAGACGAAGCTCTAGTCATGTCTGTCCTGTGTGTGCTGGGCAGATGGGTGGTAGCCTGTAAGGAACGTCTGCAACAAGGAGGACCTCTCCTCACGACAGCCCCAGCTCCTGGTCCTTCTGCATCTTCGTGCACGCTCAGTCGCGTCCTACTCTGTGCGACCCCATGGACTGTAGGCTGCCACGCTCCTCTGTCCGCGGGATTTCCCAGACAAGAATACTGGAGTGTGTTGCCATGCCCTCCTCCAGGGGATCTTCCCAACCCAGGGATCGAACCCGCATCTCTTATGTCTCCCGCTTTGGCAGGCAGGTTCTTTACCGCTAGCACCACCTGGGAAGCCATCCTCCTGCTTCAGCAAGTTTCAGATCTCTCTGTCCTGGCTTCTCCTCCACCCCCACCACCATCAGATACCAACTCTCCTGCAGGAATAGCCCAAGCAGGTTGCTAGCTATCAGCCATGGGTGGGGCCTTTCCAGAGTTGTGGGTCAGCCTCACTTCCAAGTGACAAAGGAATGAATCTCTAATGGTGGAAGGTCAAGCATCAGCTACCTGCTAGGGGGAGCGTCTTTCTGGGGTGTAAGCTCGCCCTGCACTCTTTAAGATCCTGTTTCACTCTCCTGCCTGTGGGTGGATTGTGTCCTGGCTTACAGGCCGCAGAAAAAGCACAGACCACTGGGACGGTGGGGGAGCGGAGAAGAGCACTCAATCAAGAGGCTCAAATTCTAACTCCAGCTGGGTCACAGACTGCTCAAGACCCTGGAGAGGGAGGTATCAGATAGAGGGAAATTGTGGAGAGCGGATGGCTAGGGTCTGTCCCTGCCCTTAGAGTTCGTGATGCTCCCTGTCATCACTCTTCCTCTGTTGAGTTGGGACCAGCTGAGCCAGGAGGTCACTGTCAACTCTCCATTCTGTCATTGGAAAGCCCACAGTGGTGTCCAGAGGCGAGATGCTGTCCCCCAGCATGGCAAATGAGGAAAAGAACAAAAAGTGCTGGGGAGCCTTGGCTTCTTCCAAGGGCTTAGGCGCATGGGCTACACCAACACCCAGCCCTACTCATCTTCAAAGTGGCTTTTCAGTTGAAAGAAACAAAAAAGAGAGAAAGCTGTAGATGCCACCTCCTGCCCCCAAGGATGTCAAATACTCATGTTCTCCTGGGAGGAATCATCTGCTCTCAAACACTCCATCCAAGTGCAGCTTGCAGAGTTGGGGGAGGGGTGTCCCTCTAGCTGGGAATTTATGAAGAAATATACCTCATAGCTCAGTTGGTAAAGAATCCGCCTGCAATGCGGGTGACCTGGGTTGGATCCCTGGGTTGGGAAGATCCCCTGGAGAAGGGACCGGCTACCCACTCCAGTATTCTGGCCTAGAGAAATTCCACAGACTGTTTAGTCCATGGGGTCGCAAAGAGTTGGACACAACTGGGCAACTTTCACTTTCATGCCAGCCAGTGTTCCGCTTTCTCTGCACCCACTCGAGGGGGGTGCCAGCCCTAGGCACCCATGGACTCAAACTCCTGGGCATCTATTTGCAAGGCAGCCACAAATGACTTCCTGTTTCTCTCCTATCTCCCCCTGTTTACTCTCTGCTCCCACTTCCACTGCATCATCCACTTGTGCTCAGATGCCTTTAAATGAGTGGATAGAGCCTAAAGCATGAATAACGAAATCGGGAGAGTCAAATCAGCCACTAACAGGTGACGTGTAAAAACAAGTAATGTACACGGCAGCGTCAAGAACCAAGGGGCCTCCTCGTTCCAGGGCCAAGATGGAACACGGGCATCGGTGCCCAGTGCTCCTCAGGAGTGGGGAGAGTCCTCAGGCTGGCCCTTCCTCTGAGCCCAGTGGGGCTGCACATAGCAATGTAACCTCTCTTGGCCAACAGCAAGCAAAGCGCAGGAAAGCCTTTTCAAGAGATGCGAAAGGACCTGCATCTTCAGTTTTGTTTTTTTTAAAGCAAAGAAGGCAGTTATATAAAAAAAAACATACTAGAGCCAAGGGGGCTGGATAAAGGGTCTCAAAGTCCCCCACTAGATCCCACATTCTAGGATTATAATAAGAGCATGGGCCGAGTCCCTGGTGCCCTTCCAAAGACAGCCGACTGGGCACAGCCAGTTCCCAAATTCAGCCCCACCTGGAGAACCAGGCAGAACCCAGGCCAAGGCCCACGAGGGTAAAGGAGGCTCGGGGCCAGCTCTGGCCCCCAGGGAACCAGTCAGGGCCACGGACAGCAGCCACCAGGGAGGCGCAGACTCCTGCAGAGAACATGAGCCTGGCATGGTTTTCTCAGACATGATTCTACGGAGGAGAGAAACTGGAGTGAGGGAGATGACTTTAATAGCATATGAAATTTTAAAGAGCTTCCAAACCCTCCTCAGTGGGTGGAGAGGCCTGCCAGGGGATCCAGACCATTCCCAGCCAGGACCAGCTCTGCCAGCTCAAACTGCTGGGACGCCAGAGCAGCCCTGTAAGCCTCCTCTCTCACCCGCCCAGTGTCCTAGAGCAGCACCTTGGGTCTTTGCCTGGACTTCAGGTACCTGTTGCCTGTGACAGCAATTTTTATTTCCTTCCTTCATTCCTTCCCAAGCCCATCAGGGCTTCTTCCCAACGGATTGCTCTCCTCCCTCCAGCAGAGCTGGCAGACTCTCAAATTGCCAGGCCACTAGGCAGAGTTCCCAGAGGCCCAGGCCATGACCCTCTGCTCAGTCAGGCATACACCTGATGTTCTGAGCAATCTAAGGCTGTCATGGCACAGCTTCCAGTATGCAAAGGTTGCACAAGTGTGTCTACTACTGCCCTGAGCATCAGTCCGGGGGAGAGAGCCTCTCCCAGCCTCATCCCTTCTTTAACGCCTATGGGATGAATTTGAGAATAAAGAGAAGCAAACACTCCACAGGATGGTGGCCACCCCAGCTAGGTAGCCAGGCCTCTTTAGGCTTCAGAGAAAAAAGCAAATCCTAGGATGAGGGCTGAGAGGAGATGGCCAGTGTCAGCCCCCGTTGCACACTTTACCATGGTGACCACACAAGGGGAGGCCGAGACCTTCTAGAGCTGTTGACAGTCGCTTCTGTCCAGCCAGCTGGACTGGGGAGATGCTCAGTCTGCTTTTCTCCAACCAGGAGCAAAGTGACTGTCTCTTTCTGAGACAGAAGTGTGGGTAGTCAGCAAAAAAAGGAGGTTCTTCATTCCCACTTTTCCTCTGCCTTTTTCTGATTTTTTTTTTTTTTAGAGAAAGGATGGTGAAGTCTTTGAGACCTAAACGTCCAGAGTCACTCTTTCCCCTGCACACACGAAGGAGAGTGTTACTGGGGACAGTTTCCTGGCTTGCAGTCTTCCCTACCCCAGAAGGGTTCCTGTATATGGTTCCACTGCCTTTCTGCATCTAGTGTAGCCAATGAAAAGTCTGTTGTCCCTCTCATCCTTCTTCCACTTTAGATCATCTTTTCCCTCTCTCCCTGGGAAGTTTTTGTTTCTGTTTTTGTTTTTGTTTTTAAGTAGTTTTCCTCTAACTTTGTTGTCATGCTATATCTAGCTGCAGGTGTTCGTCACTCCCCCTTCTTGGCGCTTGGTCATTCTGTTTCATCTTGCAATTTGGTCTTCAATGGTTTCTTCTCTGTCTCCTGGTAAGCTTCCTTATTGTGTCTCATCCTTTCCATCCCTCAGAAACTTCTTCTGGACAGACTGTGTTATCCACCTCTCTCTCAAGTGCTTCCATCCGTATCTCCATCTCATGGTCCTCTAGACCACATGCTGCAGAGAACCCCTCCAGTTCACCAGTCACTCTTCACTCTCATCCACACTGCCGGTCCAGCCCATCTGTTGATTCTTATGTGTCCTTGTGCACAGCTTCCGTTTCCAAGGTCTCCTGCTGTTCATTTTACAGATCTGATAGAGGTACTTATTATTCCAAAGGCTCCAGAAAAGTCTCATTCTGCTTGTACTGTTAGCACCTGCTTTGGTGTGAACTTTGGCTTTCTACCATCAGTACATCTTTCTCACAGTTGGTTTTCTACAACTTTTTGGTGAATCCTGGGGGCATGCCCCTCTCTGTACTGCAAAGTCAGGTCGGCAGTGGGAAGTGGGATGTGCTACAGGGTAGCTTTGGCTGCAGCCTTTCCAACCTAAGTGAAGGGGAAGTGCCTGCTGTTGGCGGAGTGAGCGAGCAGGGAGGGGAGAAGTGGAATCTCCCTCCTGGGCTTGTGTCAGCCACCCTGGAGCACTGCTCTCTCACCCAAGTACCCAAGCAGTCTCCACTGCCCACTGCCTGCCCTGAAGAGGCCGGATGTGGAGGTGTGAAGGGATTCAGTTGCCTACCCGAGCTTCCTGGTGACCTCAGCTCCTCACCCTGTCATGTACTCCCACCTCCCTCCACCCCATTATCCTCCACCTCTGGACCCAGGACGCATCTTTTAGTGATTCTTCTGCAGGGACATTGGAGTTGCGGCTTCCCTCATCAGTCTGATCTTGACTGTTCTCCATCCTTGGGGGAGTCCTCAGTTTCTTCTGTACCAAGGACACCGCTTTTTTAATTTATGGCACTGTTTTATGTTCTTTCATGTAATTTTATATAAGTATTCATTCTATTCTGTCATCTCTGGGACCTTGGGATGGAAGGGTGAGGTGGCCACTGTTGCTGAATCCCTCACCTTGAACCAAACATGCTATGCTCTCAGTAAAGAGTGGTTGGATGAATGAATGGATCCTAATGCCTCTAAGTTTAACATCTTCCTCCATTTGAAAAAT